TCCAGAAGCTTTGCAGCTTCATTAGCATCAACGCATCTGAGAAGACCTAAATCTGGAGTCCTCCTGTAAAGGATTTCCCCACTTGCAAAGAAATTGAGGGCCATGCGGCGTATCGACTTCTTCTGGTTGAACGTTGCATTCTCAGGATAAGTCCCGTCCTCTAAATACTTCTTGATGTCAAAATACCAAGGCAGAACAGGTTCCGCTTCAACATGCTAACAATGGGCAGGCTTCTCTTTTACCTCTATATCCACTGTATCAATATAACTTGTATCTGGATGTTTAATCATTGAAGCGATGGTGGCAAGAGCATTAGCCAACTCATTTTGTGTCCTGGGGGTGTGTTTGAACTCAATCTTGCGAAATCTTTTGCACAACCTCTGTATATACTGCACATACGGTGTGATCTTCGGGTTCTTTACGGCCCATTCTCCTTGAACCTGATGAATCAGCAAATCTGAATCTCCAATAACCAACAGCTCATGAACGTTCATATCAATTGCTATCTTCAGACCGAGGATGCAAGCTTCATACTCAGCCATGTTGTTCGTGCAATTAAATCAGAGTTTAGCCGCCATAGGATAGTGTTGACCAGATTCTGACACTAAGACCGCTCCGATACCTTTCCCTTGGTGATTTGCCGCTCCATCAAAGAATACTCTCCAACCAGGGTATGCCTCAGAAATATCTTCACCAACAAACGAAACTTCCTCATCGGGAAAATAAGTTTTGAGCGGTTCATACCTTTCATCAACTGGATTTTTCGCAAGATGATCAGCCAAGGCTTGTGCTTTTATCGCCTTCTGGGTCACATACACAATGGTCAAACTCACTCAAAAGCATTTGCCATTTAGCCAGCTTCCCAGTCGGCATTGCTTTCTGGAAAATATACTTCAATAGGTCTATCCTGGAAATAAGGTATGTGGTATACGAAGACAAATAATGTCTCAACTTCTGAGCAATCCATGTCAAAGCACAACATGTTCTCTCTAAAAGAGTGTAATGAGCCTCATATTGAGTGAACTTCTTACTCAACTAATAAATGACTCACTCCTTCTTCCCAGTCTCATCATGTTGACCAAGCACACATCCCAATGCATTATCTGAGACCAATGCATTGTCTGAGACCGATAAATATAGCAGTAACGGACTCCCTTCTCGCGGAGGGACCAACACCGGCGGATTGGACAAATAGTTCTTGATGGCATCAAAAGCAGTTTGACATTCTCCAGTCCACTTGGTCGAAGCATCTTTTTTCAATAACTTAAAGATGGGCTCACACACCATGGTGGATTGAGCTATGAACTGGCTGATGTAGTTCAACCTTCCCAAAAAACTCATCACCTCTTTCTTGTTCTTCGGAGGAGGTAATTCTTGAATCGTCTTGATCTTGGAAGGGTCAAGCTCAATTTCCCTCCTACTGACTATAAATCCCAACAACTTGCCAGCCGGCACTCCAAAAGCACATTTGGCGGGATTTAACTTCAAATTATATCGGCGTAAACGATCGAAAAATTTCCTCAAGTGAATCAAGTGATCCGAACTCTCGCGGGACTTGATTATGACATCATCTACATAAACTTTGATCTCTTTGTGAATCATATCGTGAAAGATGGTTGTCATTGCCCTCATATAAGTAGCACCGGCATTCTTGAGACCAAAAGGCATCACCCGATAATGATATACGCCCCAGGGCGTGATAAAAGCTGTCTTTTCTACGTCTTCTTTATCCATCAGGATCTGGTGGTAACCAGCATAACAATCCACAAATGACTGCATCTCATGCTTAGCACAATTATCAATGAGAATGTGAATGTTTGGCAATGGAAAATTATCTTTCGGGCTAGCTTTGTTGAGATCTCTGTAGTCAACACAAATTCTAATTTTTCCATCTTTCTTGGAAACCGGAACAATGTTGGCTAACTAAGTCGGATATTGCGTCACTTCTACTACTTGAGACTCAATCTGTTTTGTAATCGCCTCTTTGATCTTCAAACTCAACTCAAGCTTGAATTTCCGAGTCTTTTGTTTTACTGGACTGAAATCTGGATTGATCGACAACTTGTGGGACACTATATTCGTGCTCAGCCCTGGCATGTCTTTATAAGACCAAGCAAATACATCAATGTACTCCCTACTCCCTGAGCAAACGAACCAGGTCTCTTCTTTGGGCTTCAGTCACATGGACACTGATTTTGACTTCTTTGACACATTCCTCATCTCCGAGATTCACAGTTTCAGTTTCTTCAAGATTTGGCTTGTGTTGATTCTCAAATTGTCGAAACTCCTCAGCAACATGTTCGGGTACCTCATTTTCTTCTCCATATTCCTCACACTTCATCATCACCTGCCTCATTTCGTTCACTCGGTTCATGACATGACATGACATTGACAGGTTTTATATTAATATTAACTGAAATCATAAACAAACAAAGTTAGGAAAGTAAAATATAAACAGATAAGTAAACAAACAAGTTTCGATGAAAGAGGCTTTTCATTTGAATTGAAAGACAAGCACAAACTTTGGCCATGGCCGAGGGCCATTTTGCCTTTTTAAACATCACAAGGGAATTTAAAAAGCTTAAAACAAATAACAATTGCATAAAGGGTGGGTCTCGGGCCTCTTCCGGACTACCACCGATTTTAAAACCACAAAACATACGTTTTTCTACCCAGATGAGCGGGAAATCAGGAGTGGGGTGGAGGTCCAGTTCTGCAATCGCTCTTCAGGTTCTACATCACGGATGCCTGATGTCCCCAGCCTCTTCCTCGATGACTGCATCAATCTCCTCAAAAAGGCCCATGATTCCTTCCCCGAGACCACCATCGTTGGCGTGCTCCTGTATCGGGAATGACTGGTACAGATAAGGAATTGGCGTAGCCAATGCTTGATCAACACTCTTGTTCTTCATCTCTGCTTCGTCAGCATCTGTGGGGACATACCCCAAACCAAACTTTGCTCCTTTGGAGGGAATTTGGATAGGCTCGACGATTCCTTGAAAGTGCTTCCCCAATCCGAAACCTGGTTTAAAACCACTCTATAGCATGACAGTAGCAATCATCTTGTACACAGAGGGCATATGAGGTTGCGGATCCAAATCATCACCGGTGGCATTTACCAGCTCCACCGTGTAAAAATCACAACCTCGGGAAACCTCGTGAACGATCAACGCATACCCATCGGAGTGACTCCCCTCACCATGAATGACCAATTCCTGGTCCTTCCAAACAAATTTCATCAGTTGGTGAAGGGTAGAAGGCACAGCCCCGGCCATGTGGATAAACGGTCTTCCAAGAAGTAAATTGAAGCTGGTATTAATGTCCACCACCTGAAACTCCACATTGAATTCTGCAGGCCCTATCTGAACATCCAAATTTATTGCCCCTATCAAGTCTCTCTGCACTCCATCGAAAGCTCTCACATTGACCTGGTTTTGTTGAACCTTTCCCAAGTCAAATTTCAGCTGCTTGATAGTCGAAAGCGGGCAAATATTGAGACTGGACCCATCATCGACCAAAACACGATTTACAACTTTGTCTCGGTATTTGATGGTGACATGCAGAGCTTTGTTGTGCATCCTCCCTTCAAATGACAGCTCTTCGTCGCAAAACCTGATTCGGTGTCCTCGGATGACCTGGTTTATCATTGTTGCTAAATCGTCACTGTTAGTACTCACCTGCCGAATTTGGTCATACCCTGGGTAACAGCCGTTTCAATCACAAGCTTTTGTTGGGTAAGAGTTTCTCGTGGCACCAAGGCAACAGCCTTCTCGGGTGTCAGAATCACAAACTTTTTCCTCTCTCTGATGCCCAACGAAGCTACAGCCCTTTCCAGTTCATCAGGAGCAATCGAAATTATTGCCTTCGTCACGCACCAATCATCATCTGTCTCTATCATATTGATAGTGGCGCCTCCATGATTTGGCAAAGGATTACTATTGACATTGGGCGCGACTGTCTGAAGAGAGACCACATTCTGGTCAATCAGGTCTTGGATCTTATGCTTCATGTTGATACAATCCTCGGTATCATGTCCAACACCGTCGGAGTGATACGCGCACCTCTGATCAGGTCTGTAAAACTTTGAGCTAGTGTCAACCGACTTAGGACCCACTGGATGAATATATCCTGCCGCCAGTTAATCGCTCGAACAGCTTTGTTCGGCTTTCAATAAGCGGAGTGAAAATTCTAGCAGGCTTCTTCTCAAATCTGGGGCGAGAGGAATCGTAATTGCCTTGTTGAGGGGGAGGCATTTGGCGATAATTTGGAGCATTCGGACGGGGGGCTTGATATCTGGGATATGAGTTGGTTTGGTAGTTTGGTTGTGCAGCCTGGTAGTTCGAGGGGGTATTTTGGTAAGGTGGAGCTGGGGTTTGGTACATTGGGGGAGGCGTTTGGTAATTTGTCTAGATGTTGGTACAGTTGGGGGTGGCATTTCGATATTGATGAGATGGAGCTTGATAAACTGGAGGAGGAGTTTGGTAGATAGTAGGAGGAGTTTGGTAGCTAGGAAGGGGAGCATTTTGATAACTGGGAGGAGGGGCATTTTGATAACTGGGGGGAGGGGTATTTTGGTAGTCAGTCTGGGTATAACAAGCGAGGTACGAACTCTGTGAAGGTCGAGAACGACTTTGGTATGATGATGATCTCCTTGGGGTCTTCTTCCCCTCATAAGAGATAGATGTCACATCCTCTCTTTTCTTCTTTAACAAGCCCGAAGATCCAGGCGAGGCAGCAACACGGGCAATCTTCCCGGTTCTCAATCCATCTTCGATAGTCTCACTTACCTTGACTATCTCAGGAAATTTTGCTCCAACGAGCAACATGATTCTGTCATAATATTCGGGCTCTTGCACCCGCACAAACACTTCGACAATTTCCTTTTCTGACATAGGAGGTCTAACTCTAACTGTCTCCTTTCACCACCTATATGCGAATTCTCTGTAACTTTCGGTCGACTTCTGCTTCATCTTCTCCAAGGAGTAGCGATCAGGAACGATCTCCACATTATAGGCGAATCGTTCGATGAAGTCCTTAGCCAGAGCGTTCCAACTAGACCACTGTCTCGTTTCATGGGACGTAAACCACTCTAGAGCCTCTTCGCTCAGACTTCAGCTAAAAAGCCGCATTAACAAAGCTTCATCTCTTCCAACTCCCACGAGTTGGTCACAGTAAGCCCTCAGGTGTGCTAAGGGGTTCCCCGTTCCTCCGAAAATGTCAAATTTTGGCACCTTGAACCCTTCCGGGAGGTCCAAATCTGGATGGATGCACAAATCCTCATAACTTAACCCATCGACTTCAGGAATACAATGCAGCTCCTTCATGGCTTTCCTGATCTCTTCTTTCATATTCAGCTTGACTGCCTCTTCCTTTGACCTCCA